TTAAATTGGTTGTTTTCTTCAGTTTCATCGCAATTCTCAGAACCAAAACCACTTAACCATTGGTTATATATAAAGTCGGTAAATCGGCAGCCTTCTTACTTGTATCCATACACCCACTTTTGATACGGATAATACATCAAAGTTCTGACTTATCCCCTTTTTGGTAACTGTGTGCAAAATAAGGTAAACATCTCTAGTAGCTTCCACACTGCTATTGTGGCACCAGTTTGTAGATAATGATCTAATTCCCAGACTCTCTAATGAGGCTTTTGTAACGTTTCTCATGACCACAGTAGCATTGTTTATAGATAATATAAACAACTATCGTATCCTTGAATTCTTCGACATAATTTTCTGCTTGGTCAATTGTTGTATAAATTATTTACATTTTTATCAAATGCGCACCACATCTCTCCTTATTGTATATATTTTATTAATACTTGAAGCATTTGGAATGCCCAAAAGTGCCACAAATGCTTCATTCCTCCCTCTTTTAGAAATTGATAAAAATTTCACGACCTAACCTCTCTGTTTGCACCTTTCCACTTGTATATTGAGCAACGTTTACAATAATTCTACTGGTATCTTGCTTCGCTGATCAATCTTTAGTTTAGTAACAAATTATTACCTTTACTCCTTAAATACCTTCACAATTAGATTGATTATTAATATATACTCTCTATTCATTTCCATTAATTAAACATCAATCACATGATTTGCTCATGATTAGGTTCAAACGACAGTTATCTTATACATAATATCATAATAAAATACACTCTATGACACCTAATCACTAGACATAATAACATAATCATAGTCATACTAACATTATACTTCCATTCCATTATACCATATACTGATATATTTATCCAATATAATAAACCATAAAGTTAATAATATTATATCATAAGTGGATTAATATCAATTAACTAATACATCAAATTGAGGACCATCATATGACAATCAATTGATATCTTCTTTCTTTTCTTCTTTTCAAGTGCTCTGGTTGCTCTCTCTTTTTCGAATCTCGTTATCTTTCAAAATCCGTGTCGTAAGAATTGAAACACTGATTCATCACTGTTAATAATCCATTTGCAAGCCTTCCACTGATCACAATATTCGAAAGGTTGCATGTGGTAGTCACATATAATGGGATTATCATGGGCATCCAAAGTTCTCGAGATTAACATACATCACTCCTGTCAATCGTGTGATGAGTCTCGTTTTCTCTAATCCTTTGGAGTAGATCTACTATATGTTTTATTTATGTCCCGACATATGCCAGTTAAATCTGAAAAGTCATATTGTCCTTCTTCCCATGTTATATTATGTAATTAGGTTGTGTACCACTCAATGTGCCTGTTATCTTCGTTGGACAGCATTTCCCTAGAAAATTGTGCCATAAAACTATAGGTGTCGGTCCATCTCGTGTAAGTGTCTTTGATGGTCAACTCCTTCACTACCACTATAAATCCTTCCACCTCTTTTATGGCAGCTTTGCCTTTTCTTTTCCTGCAATTGTATCATTCTAGGTTAGATTAAACCCAAAACATTGTCAACATAATAGTATTTCTTATCACGGTCTCATCTGCTTTCTCGTCATTGATCTGATACGTTCACAACTGGTTTGATTTATTCCAAGTTTCTCGTCATGAATGTAAGGTATTTCAACTCACTTGTGCACTTCATTATTTCACTCGTACACTTTGCTTCATTATACCTATCACGTGTCTGATTGCGCTGTCTTCCAATAAGTTTCCTTCAATCTTGTAGCATCCACTCTCCTCTTTTGTCAATGATTAAGTCTCGTGTGGTAGTATCACTTCTTAACCTTTTGGTGCCTTCAGTTAACTAGTCTAGTTCTGGTAGTGTTTGGTTCTCAGACATATCATCATCATCGATTAGCTAATCACTCAGTTCTCAAACTTCATTCTCCATGTTTTTTCTAATCCTATTAATTTTGCTTAAGAATTTTGATCTATAACGTTCGCTTTATGATCAGCTAACCTCATCGATTCATTATACTAATCTTAATTTTGTCATTAGCCTATGTCCTAATTAGATGGAGCTCAGCCAGTCAGTTCCACTATTTTGGTAGCCTCTGAATAGGACAACCTTTTATTGTTTTCTGGCTCCGTACTCTTTCTCTTTTTGAATTTACACAGCCCATCTAACTTCCACAGTTTAATCAA